GTAAACAAATCACACCATTCAATACAATTCTATTCTCTTTGTATTGTCTTATTTTCTCTCTTAAATTCAACTAGGTATCAGAGCTACTATTCTTAGTGGTTTTCGATATATCAAGAGTTGAGTATGCTCTGTGATTGCCACTATTAGTGGATCCTTCACATAAAAAAACTTCTTGTATATCCTTATCATACTTGTTGGGTAGTCACTATAGTCGGAGTCTTATTCTCCATCGACTTCATCTCAGCCACCACTCCATCAGTTCAGTTCAATTCCTATTATTATTATTTTTCTTTGTCCTCCTCTAACTCCTTAGAAAATTATCTTGTCGTGAGAACTTGAATTCAAACTTTGTGCGTGGATAATCAGACTCCTCAATTTGAGACCATAAGCTGGCCGGCCTGTTAGAAGAGAGAGAAATTATTATTTTGTTTTTGTACTTGGAAGAGATATTTTGTACTACTTTCATCGCATTCTTATGTACTTGTCCGTAATTTTTAAATTGAGAGTTTCCCACGTTACTTCTCGTGTTCATTTTAATTCTAGTTTTCCTCGAGATTACTTCGACTATGTTCTAGTTCTGTCGTGTTTAATTTCCTAAGATATACAATGACACATAAATCGAGCATGTCCCAAGTCAACCGTAAAATTTGAATAAACTACATATAAATATTTATGTGAGTAATGTTCGACAAAAAAAATGTGTGCATAGAAATTAAATAATATGAACGCCCTTTTTTTAAAAAAAAAATGTAAATATAATTATCTTTCAATGTTTTTAGGTGGTTGACCAGCTCATATAATTGCATATATATTGGCAATCAGACATTCTGTGATGACATACAACAAATATTAATAAGAGAAAGTAAATTATAAATAAATAGATATAACATAGTTCTAAACTAATATTTTTCAATCGGACGGCCAATAACATATTATATATTTGATTTAAAGAATATATTCAAAATGCTTGCTTACAACATTTAACGGGTTGATATGTATAACTATTAGTATTCATCGTATATTTATTTTAAATGACGTTAGTAAAAATATTCTTTGTATTCGTTGCGCGATATTCCAAGTTAGAATATTTTTATATAGTCAAGTCGTGTATAATGTCGATAAGGAATTTTTCGAAAATGTTTGACGCAAAAATAAAGAAAGGAGAAATCGACTTACAAAACTTTAATAAGTAGAGTCAACTTTGCCAATTTTAATGGATAAAAAATTAAATATCAGTCATTAGTTAATTTTAATTACATATTTTTCTAGAATTCGCCAATTTTCAACCACACATTTCATCAGTATTTCTCAAAATCTACCAAAAAATAGATTTTTAGCAAAACAAAATAGAGGCTTTATGATGGTTGTTTATATATATTAAACTATGTTTGGTTTCGCTAAAAATTAATTTTTTTCAGTAGATTTTGATAAAAGTTGTGAATGAATTTTCATGAAATATGTTATTAAAATTAATTACTGACTTGAACTTAGATTTTTATCTAATTTTTTTAAAGTTATAAGTTGAAATTCATCTTTGATTAGTGAATAAAAAACTCTACTTGTTGGATCATATATATTATATTATAACTTGGGCAGAAAACATAGAAGAAAGATGACAAACAGCAGCCGCCTGCCCGAATGAACCAAAAGACATATGTGGTTTTTAAATAATTATTGGTCAATTTTGAGAATTTTCCAAGGGTTAATGTTTTCCTCGTAAACATGATAAAATATTAATGGTGACAAAAATAGATTTACAAAGAGACATCTATCATCCCGTTTCATGTTATTTAGACATTATTATATTAAGAATTTCCTTTGTTCATTTGATTTAATCCAAAACTAGGATATCATATCAATCCTTTTTTTCTTACCATTTTCCATTTCTCCATACAAGAAATTCCATTTTCCAAGCTCGTAAACCCGTACAAAAATATTATCTAAGTTTAATCTTCGATATGCTCATTCACGCGTTTTCCTTCAAAGGACTAACTCAAGCACAATGCGCATATCATCTTGAACTTTCTATCTGAAAACTTGCGTCGTTACGAACTAGACAAATTTAAATATTAATATGGTATTAAAACTCATTAAGTTCAAACGAGTATACGAATTTCAAGATTGATCTACTCAAACAGTCAAATCTATTCAGAAGAAAATATGAAAATAACTTTAAAAATGAATAAAAATTTTGATTATAACATTATTGATTGATGACCATAAGCCATGAGGACTAGCACATATTTATTCATATTTATAATAAAATAAGTTCAACAACTCTCTGTAACTAGTGTTTACCTAAAAAATAGATAACAACTATCAAATAACAAATTAACAACTTTGTATTTATCCTTTGATTTGAATCTAACAATCTTATCACTCCAAGATTTTCCCATCTCCCATCATTCATTTGATCCTCATCATTTCAGTTGCTCAGTTGCGTGACATTTCTAACATGATCCATAATACCATCCAACTCGTAAAGTTATTGACTTATATGACTCTCTAAATAAATAAGTATATACGCGCGCGCATAATTGATTGTAAAAATTCTATCTTTTTTGTCAAACGTGGCATGGTTGAATGATGCACGTATTCAAGTTGGAATACTTACTTCAAAGAGAGGCAAAAGTGGGCACATATAATTCAACCTCAAAAGAGTTTGGATTTCATGCTTTCGACCAGTCAAATGCTTGTCTTCTTCAAGAAACACAGAAAAAATATATATATAGCTGGTAAAGGGTCGAAATCAGATGATAAAAGTCAATTTCATATGTGATGACCGAGTCCACCAAGTTTAAAAAAAAAAAAAAAAATTATAGAAAGACAAAATCATGTGTGATGACCAAGTTCTCATATAGTAAACCAAATTTTAGAGGCATCCTCATTCCATATTTTCGCCAAAATTGATTCGTATTTGACAGACATGTTACTTGTTTGACAATAAATCAGAAGTTAATTTATTGAACGAATTGAAAGAAGGTGTACAAGGTAAAGAGTTCTCAATTCACTCATCAGAAAAATGTCGATTTAACGTTCAACAAGTGTTAGGTTGTGCATTCCATTAATCATGTTAGTCTAACCTTTAGTACGTCCGATCACGGTCTATCCTAAAACGAAAATAAAAGTTGGATAATAAAATTGAAAAGAATTGAAATTAAGTGGCTAACATGAAACAAAGATATAAGTTTTGTGACTTCCAGTGAAATTTTCCCTCATTTACAAATCTACAAGCTACCATCTACAAAAATGTGTAGATCGGGCTTCTATTTTATCCTTGTGTATTTCTGGTGTTCATTGAATTTTTTTTAATTTTTTTTTTTTTTTTTGTATAAGAATAGAAAATGAAATTCAATAATTGTGGTTTTCCATTTAATTATTATTATTATTATTATTTTTAATCAAATTTGTTATTTAGTTACTTGCGTATGCTAAATTTGATTCTTGCCATGTAAGAAGTTAACCCATATTTCTAATTTATGTGAATTGAAATTCTAAATACAATGGGTAAGATATATTCTACCATCAATAATTTATTTTCTTTCCGTGTAAGGTTGAATATGTTTACAACCTAGGCTGTACGACCAAAGAAAACACTTAACTTTATTTTTTCGTGACGAGAATAGCTTGGATATTTCTCTTTTGAAAGTGATCCGATGATTTTCTAGGCAAGGAGTTCTTCTCTCTTCTCCACCTCTCTCCTTGGTTAAAAATGAGTTTTACATTCCTTAGTAAGTTAAAATTGTTGTTTAAATATCTACCTAATTTAGTGTAAATATGTTAATTGTAGGAAAATTTTCGACTTGGATGCATTTGGAGCCAAAAAAGATAATTTTGAGTTTAATTGGAGTTGATTCAAAGAAATTGATGATCAATTGGATTGCATGTGATCATTATGAAGAATTAAGAGAGCAATCGGAGAAGATTCATAAGTTTCGAAAGTTAAATTTAATATTTAAAAAGTTTGAGGAATCGATTGCAATCTTTTGAAACTTGCATTGGATCAATTACAGATGATGATGATGATGATCAAATTTAAAAAACTTAAAGATGAAGGACCCATGGTGCAAATAAAAAGGAACTCTAGCTGAACAAAAGAAGAAATTCAAAGATCAACTTGAACTTGAGAGAAAGTGTGAAGCTCGCGATCGCAATAACTATAATCATAAGTTGAGTTCCTGCGGCTTAAACTTTTGTGACATAGGATCGCATGGTGTTGTCCAGATTGTTTCCTATTTCATTTCAACCTTATCTTGGAAAATAATTAGGGCAAAAATTTTGACCAAATTCTTGAATAATAAATACGTCTTTTCATCTACAAAATACATTATTATTCTTTACAAAGAGAAGCCATTGACAAAAATTGCCACTCTTTACAAGATTGTCCATTTTGGATGCTTGACTTTGTTCTCTTGGCTCCTATTATTCTTTCACCATATCTATTTCCATGACGTGGGTTATTGTCAAAAAGGTGGAACGAAGTGACATAGCTGACGGCCAACAAAAAATAAATCTAATTTTTATTTCAATAATTGGACATCTGACGTTTATACGGACTCAAGGGTGTGTTTGAACCCCCTTTAATTTTGAAAAATGTATCATGAAATAGTAGATTGATGGAGAATGTTTGATTAAAAATGAAGGAAAAACTTTTGATTTGCGTGTAATATTATTTTAATAAAGAATGTATGGTTAAAAATGAGTACCGTAGAAAAAAGTATGGTAGAATGTAAAATAATGGGTGACAAACAAGAGCTGAAATTAGTGAGTAACTAACGATCTATAAGTGAATTTGTTTGCGATTTGCCATTTTAAATTAGTGTGACTTTGAGCACATGCACGACAAACAAATAAATTTTTGGCCTTGATTACAAAATCTTAAGTAGTTCTATACTAAGATTTCTAAGTGAAAAACCGTTGTATTCCTGGAAATATAAAATAGTAATAAATAACAACATAAGATAAATAGAAAAGCCACAGTAACACGCTGAGAATCATCTGCTTCTTTTACAAAAGGAAACTAACATTGTCATCGTAAAGGGTATACATATAGCTTATATATTGCAAAATATTACACCAATAATTATATACAAGAAATTCGTATGGACACGACTCCAGGAGAAGATTGTAAATGACCAAAACATATATTTCCGAATTTTCATTTCAAATCAAACCTTAATCTTCATAGAGAAATCCCAATCCTCCAGTTCGATCCCTCCTGTTTATACTCCTTTCACTTTGCTACAAGACTATCAGCTGTTAGCCCGGCAATAGTACCTCTTCGTCTTGCAAAATCACGGCTAAGAGAGAGTACTTGACACGAAGAGATATTTTACCCCTGTCAACTATAAGCCTAGCCCCAGATACTACCCAGTACCCCGGAGGGTCCTGTGGTCCTCTTGTCATCTCCGTTGTGTCAACAAATCTCAAGAGCTTACGAGTTGGTGCAGGTGTTGGAGGACCATCGGGATATAGTGCAGAGTTGACGTTAACATCGGCTGGCTTTGGAGGAGGTTTCTGTCCAGTGGAGAACTTAGTACTAATTAAAGTGGAAAGAATTCCCGACTTTTGGACAAGGGCCGGGGAACCATCCCACTCTGGTTTCTTCACAACTGTTGCACCAGCAACTTTGGTAAAATGAAGGCGTAGAAACAGAACACTTTTCATGCCAGATTCCCCAACTTCAAATCGCGCTCCAGTAACTATAGAGAGATCGTCATCAGACTCAACTGGGGCAGTACATACATGAGAAAAGCTCTTTCCCTGAACCTTCTCGTAATATCTGCGGTCATGAGAGTTAGTGTAGTTTTGAGACGATTCATAACGAGGAAGAAAGCTTTTTGGCACAGAGGAAAGGTGCTGCAAATGGATTGCTAAGCAATTACTTCTCTTTCCTTCCAAATAGAGTCGCATCCCAGTTACCGGCATATTCCCTACCTCAACCTGTCCAAATTATTCAGCAAAATTATAAATTAACCGCTCACTAAAATTTGTGAAATGTCTGAGGATCAATATTTAGCAATGATCAAGAAAGATGCACAACAAGATTGCCCAACATCTAGTTAGAAAGGATGGAAAAAAAGGAAGGCAGAACCCTGATTCCATATAAAGACGTGATTAACCAAACTCTGCAACTTAAAAACTAAAGCTAGTAACCAGGCAGAATAAAATTCTTGTTCATGCATGTGGATTCAACTAAAATTGGGCATGTTATACTATGTTCACGAGTCAGCAAAGCAAAGGTATGATAATAAAGTAAATAGTGATCCACCAATTCATATCAATTTGGTGACATGTCATCCTCACTCCTAAAGACGGGATACTAGGCAAGTGAATCACTATCCCCAACTTCGAGCTAGGGTCTAAGAGGAGTACCTCATCTCCATAGAAATATGGCAGAGAATACAAGTTGGAAGAAGTCACTAACAATGAAATTGCAATCCATCGCAAGCCAAGGTCATTCCAGATGAACCCAAATACAGATTAAAATGGGACAATATTTTGAACAAGGATCATGCTAGAAGTACTACATGGTTTACTTACTCACTCACTTACTACACACAACGGAGTGGGGACCACACAGTCGCCATTTTTGAATTCATGTGGAGCCCGCATTTTATGTGAGAGTGAGTAAACCATTTTGTAAAAAAGTGTGAGTACAAATAACATAATCCTTTGAACAATTAAAGATGAGAATTAGATGCTCACAACTACCAAATTCTCGTTGTAGATGTACAATAGTTTTTTCTAATGTATAAAACAATAGTTTTGAGCAAAAATTGATAAATAAGACAGTCAGATTGGAAAAGTCAAACATCATCACGCTTCAGCAGTTAAAAGAAATAAGCAGAACCTCGCTAGTTGTACCAGACTAGACTTCCATAACTTTTCCTTTCCCCATGGTAGGATACTGTAACGTTCAGAAAGACATTGGATTTACATTTTATATGTTTCTTATATTTACATTAAATAGTTTTTATTTTTTTCGTGGGTCTTAAAGCACAAGCACTTGACTGGTAGTAATACCTTATATTACTTTGATGCCCATGTACAGAAAGGTAAGCCCCTCTTGGTTGGTACAAGACTACCTCAATCAATAAGACCTTTATTTTTAATTAATAAGTTGTTCTAAACAATGTCCAGACTTATCACTGTTTTGACACAAAAACCACTGATGCAAAAAATAAAGAAAATTTCAGCAGCAAGTTAATAAAAAAATTTCATCTAGCACAGTGATTCAAATAAAATTGTTGAAACAACATTAAATGAATACACGTGGCTCCTCTTAAAACAACTTAAGCTTGTAAATGAGGTTGTTAAGAAAAATGTTTAAAATCTTTATCCGCACAACAGTGGTCATTCCTTTTCCCCGAAAAATCTAAGCTTATAGTTTCTAAAGACTTACATTGGTCAAAGTAAAAGATTCTTTATTTTAATTTCAGCTCAAAGGTTCTGTTATTTATAGCATGCTGACTTCTCACTTCTGCTCCTATCTGGTTTTTAGGACCAGTGTTTCTCTCATCTGTTTCTTGCAAATGCCTAAAGGGATTGGGAGGACCTCGTTGATTGCACAGCTAACAGTCAAAACCATGGGCAAAAACTGCAAGGACAATGTACTTCTGTATCATTTAAACCGGAGAACAACTTTTCACAAATATTGAGTGCATCAAGACTCAGATTTTCTTAATCCGAGTTTCAAGGCAAGCTAAGATCACTCTCCTCAAAAAGCATGTTACTCACAGACAGATCCAAGTGTAGCAAGACTGGATGCTAATAAACAAAATAGAAGTGCAGTCATGATAAATGTGTATCTTTTTTATTATAAAGTTGAGGTTATGCCATCAAAACGACTAAAAAATGTGTTCTCTTTTTCAAATAATTGCACTCTATCATAAATAGGATAGAAATCTAAAATATAAGATAGTGGTACCTCATTAGTATTAACATAAAGCTTGGGACCCATAAAACTGAACTGCAAAGAAGCAACATTTTGCTGCTTTTTATCAGGACCAAGGGGAAGGTCGCCAAATACTGGTGCCCATTGTCTCGGAAGTTGAAATTCCAAAAATTGGTGAAGTTCTTCAATTGGTGGCTTATCTGCATGAAAAACAGTAAGGTTAACACCTACAGGTGATAACACTTGGCATTTAATAAGAATAGTACTTTCCCTGTTAATTATATTAACATCTCGAAGTGATGGCAGTAAGAGTGCTACTCTATCTGATCGCATCATATCAATGCTCAAGTCTTAAAAGTTTGAGAAAGGGCGGTAAATGCTTGCTCACTCATTAGAACTTTTGCCAACATTAGAACTGCTCCCCTGAAGCATCATTGGTGAAGTGCTTATCAAATTAATATAGTAGAAGATAGATTGAGTGGCTAACTTTTTATAAGTAATTGAGAAGATGACCAAAACGTGCCATTGGAAGACTCTACTGGGACAAAGATGGGTTGTCAAGAAACAGGCTGAGCATCTAAGGTTACCCACTAGAAGGGGAAGAGGTACTCTGGAAGCTGAGGTGGAATAACAACCTTTGGGTGGCATATCAATGGCTTGATCTCTCAGCAGAGCATGTGAAACTAAACTAAACTATCAGATGAAATAAGAAGGCTTCTAAAGGATAATAAGTAACGATACTTAAGTAAGAGAAGACTCTTTTGCTTACATCGTAGGTATAGATTGATGGCGTGGCCCAAGAATCCACTCCCATCAATTCCACTCAAAAGTGAGGATATTGGAATGAAGGACATTGAGATCACTTCAGGCTCAAGCTGAACTGTTTGGCACCACTTATCATGAGGCATATTCCTACTGCTGCTTCCGCCTCTCCTTCTCCAGAAGAATGTGATATCCTGGAATTGTTATATTAAAATACATATAAAGCCATGTGAGTCGAGCAAAAAAATGCATGCTATCCAACAAGAAAATCATAGAATTTTGATCAGTACTAACTGTACCCAGATGGATCGAGTAAACATAAGAACCTATAAATCCATCAGTAAACATAAGATCCTAACATCTATGCAACTTGTTTCGAAGAAATTATAACCTCTTGGTTAGAGTGAAAACTTGGTGTACTGGAATCCAAGACGGACAATCCTCGTTCATCACTCTCGTGCTGAAACTGATCAAAAAGACAAATATTAGTATGTTGCAAACCTGATATCAAGTTTCACATTTTGCTGATATAAGATATCAAGAGAAAGGAGAGCGAGTCAAAGTAACTTGGATCTTCTGAATTCTTGACATGCCTAACCATCATACAGAACGACGAAATTTCATAATTTGACTAAGCCGTTTGATTGCAAGAATGGAATTTGAGTGGAAAGAAAAATTTCAGGGAATTGAATTACCTAAAACTTGTTTTACTGAGAATTGTCAATTAATTGTATTTGATTGGTATAATTTTTCACTTCAAAAATATTGAAATTTTGGATCTTTTAGTGTTCGTTTGGCTTTGTTTTCTATGGAAATTGCCCATTAAAGGGAGAGAATTTGTTTCTATTGCCAAAAAAATAAAATAAAATAAAATAAAAGTTGCATAGAAAAGGTTTTCCCACCAATTCCATGGAAAATTTGGGCAATCAAACATGCAAAAAGGTGGAAAATGGAATTTAATTTCCATCTTCCATGGAATTGAAGTGCAATCAAACAGGCCTAAAAGATGAATTGTATGAAAACACCAGAAAACAAGATTCAAACATGCATATACTTCATTGCTTGATCTATTTGAAACCATAATTTGGCATCATCTCCAGCATTAGTTAATTAGCTCTGAACATTTGTTACTTAATGCAGGAAAAATTTCAATATCTTACACATTACAATAAGAAAGTTTTCGCATGGAAAGGTGAAAATGGATTTTCATGGCCAGAACAAGTTTATTGGAAACAAGGTTTAACTTCTTCTTATTAAAGTAGTTGTAAAGTATTATTATGAGGAAAAAAGCTAATTCTCTACTCGAGATAAGCTCCATCGGTTAATTCAATCCTTTTTTGAGAAATGTATAGCAAGTGTACTTGAGTTGATGAATGACTTAAAAGGAAAATCTGAAAAATATTCAAACAAAGTCAAAAGAAAGGAGATTGATTTGGTAAATCTCTCGCTTAGCTCAGATGAAATTTCACCTCCATAAACTATGCATTCTAAAATGCCAATGTTACTTTGCTCTCGCATATCCTGAAAAAAGAGTACACTGGAACCACATCTGGCAAGAAGTTTCAGACTCACGCAATATCTAAGCAAGATGTGCACATTTTATAATGAAAATCCAGTCAAGTACCAACCCACACTTATCGTACTTCTTTTTTATTAGGTGATATTCCACGGATAGAGGCCCCCACTGTAGGATCTACTCTGATGTAGCAGCTACCCTTTTGACATGTTACCATAGCCAACATTTTTCAAATAATATAGCTTTCCTATCAACTAGTACTTAAGTTCCTTCTTGTAAAAAGAATTTGAAAGTTTGAACAAAAGCTCTTCATGCAAATCCATTTGTCAAACTACCAGTCAAACTTAAGTGATGATATTGTTATCGATTCCCTGTTCATTTATTTGTTCCTATGGTTCTTATATATTTAAACGCCACTGTGGAGACCAGTCAATGCTTGACCATATTTTTTTCAAAGTTGACACAACCGTGCAAGTGCTCACTACAAAATACATCTGCAGACTTCTAAACTTTGTCTCAATTCAAAGGATAATATTGCAACCATCTTTAGGTACCATCTCTTGCATGTAACATATTGGCACTTATAAGATGTGTCTAACAACGATTATAACTTTTTTTTTGTATAAAGACACATCAATAAAATATCCCAGTCCAAAAAACAGTCTCATGACTTGCTCATTCCAGTGACCACGTTGCTTTAGCAAGCAACATAATGATCCTCTTTTAAGCTTTAACAAATGTTATCAAGCATGGACTGAGAATGCAAAAGGCTTTGGTACAAATAATAGCAGGTCAGAATGATGATTAAATATCAAGTGAAATTTTTTCTTCCCACTTGCATATACACAGTAAATAAGACATGATAACATAACCGTGAAGCATTATTACAAACCATTTCCCTGCGGGCAGCTTTCTCTGGCTGCGTGCCAGAATGTCCACTTGCATTGCTGAACCTCTTGTCTGCGACATCCTTTAATCTTTTCTGTACATCAGCGGGCAGAAGCAATGACGAATATTGCTGCTTTACATATACAACATCCTTTCCCCCCATCTTGACACCAACAATGACATGGGTACCATAAGCCTCAATAAACCTGGAAATGAACAAGTAGAATTTTCTGGTTATTCTCAAACAGAAATACTATGGTTCAGTTCAGATATTGAAAGGCGCATGCAAATTTCAATTATATATCCAAGACAGATCAAATTTATACTTGATTGAAGGGGAAAAAATCTCAGTGAGCTTCCACTCATTTTGATGACAAATAGATATCATGGTAGCAAATTATATGAATCTTAAATGCACACAAAAGTCTATGACATCCACTCTAGTCCTTCCACGATCACATTCTTAATATATTCTGGATTCTGCAATCTATCACTTCCCAGCAAAAAGTAACTATGCGCATGTTGTAGCCTTACGTGGACTCATGAAGAGCAAAGTCACTTGATATTTAGAATGGGTTTCTTCAATTTGCTAAACTGCGCTCAAAACCATGGACAATATTAACTAAACTGTATGTCACTGTTAGGTTTGATGGCTAAAGAACTGCTACATCTTGAATTTAGACATCACAGATTATAATGGGCGATGCATAATTCTCGAACATATGAACAGCTGTTTTCATCAGTCCATTTGTTTAAATTACCTTTATATAGTAGCTTTGGCTCAAACAAGACAGATATTTTATGTTTCAAAAATCAATCCTGGAGAACATTCAATGATTAAAATCTGAAACCATCAGGGAAATGGGGAGCTACAGAAGTTTGATTAGTCAAAAGAGACAAGTCCATTCCATGTCTGTATGTCACCATTAAGACAGGGCCACACATGCTGGAGAAACAAAGAATCCAATTTCCTTCCACTGACCTTGCCAATGCAGCTGGATCCCAAGACGCTGGGACTGCTCGTTTGACATGAACAGTCAGAGCTACCTGGGACTTCTCTAATGCAATACTGTAAAGGGTGATAGAGACTCCATCAAAAGCAAGGGATTTTGTGAAGGCAGCGTCTTTCTGCCAGGAACCCGTAAACTCAAAAGCTGCATTGAAGTGGCCTGTTGGGATTTTACCTGAAAGTGATAGTTCCTGGTTGAACTGTTCCGACATCTACAAGGGGAAAGGAAAAAAAGATTATCATTTGGAAGAGGCCTATAAATCCAGAAACCAGTTACTTCCTGAAATAGTCTTCAAATTCTTTTCGTTGCCATCTTTTATTTTAGTTATTTAAATTGTTGCAGAATAACTAGTAAGTGCTAACCAATAACTTTATCAAGCCCAATTAATATCACACCTATATGCACATACAGAAAATGCTCTTACATAAAAGTTATACAACAAACCCACAACATATTTAGCTTACTTTCATTCTCACTTTCATATCATAAATACTCTTATATTCAAAAGGCAAAAATCTTTACACTACGCAATGCCACATGCTGTAACTCAAGTCAAAGAAAATGTCAAATACAGTAGTATTTGACCAACTAAAACCTACGTGAATTGTGTCTAGTGATATAAAACTATACCTTTATCGACCGCCCCCCCCCCCCCCCCCCCCCCCCAAAAAAAATTTCTCGGTTATGAGACNACCAAAAAAAAAAAAAAAAAAGCTCTTAGGTAGACCCATTAATAACCTGCAATATATTTCTTTATTTCTTTTTTTTTTCCATCCTCTTTGTTTAAAAAACCCCTAGTTGAACCACTCTGTCCTAAAAAGTTCATTGACTACAGAAGGGCTCAAAACCCATACTCAAAACAGATTTTTACATGGTTAATTTCCCTTATTTATGAATCCTTGGATATGACATTTATGAGCTGAGCCGTAAACTCTAATGGTTATACCTTATTGCGGAAATTGAAAAATAAAGAAGTAAATACATCCAACAAAGTTCGAACTTCCATTCTTCCTCAATCTATTCAGCTATTAAACAAATTCAAACATATATCCAAAGTCCTCTTGAGGACAAGTAATATTATGTAGTTATGATCATTGTGATGTATTTGTACCTGCTGGAAAGATAGAACGTCAGAGCTGAACCGCATGCGCTCGCCTTTATCGCAATTGATGGACTTGGGTACATTTTGGACCAAAATACCTCCAGGAATCGCAATATCACGCACCTGATCGTCATCAATCGCAATCAGTCTGGAGCCATCTCTCGTAATTTGCTTCTTGCAGTACTTCAATCGCAGGTCCAGAGTCAAATCATAGCCCAACCCAATACAATGCACGGCTTCCTCCGCCCCCGCCCTCAATCTCAAAGCCGTCTCTTTCTTACTGACACTACTACTCTTCGCCATCAATTTAACAACAAAAATAAATAAATCTTCTCCGTCAACTGGTTATTTTTTGGTCCTTCTCCTTTGTTCTTTGTCCAGCTACAGGGTCAATGAAGATGGCTGAATTAATCAAATTATGAAGATTTGAAGCAAAACCATAGGAAGAGCTAAAAAACAAGGGAAAAAAATGAACAGGATCTTTGGGTAACTGAGTTTTTACGGAGGGTTTTCGGGTGGAACTTGGAGAAGATGAATTGAACTAGTCAAAATGGAAATGGTTGTTGAAAAATTAATGGAAGGTAGAGGAGTCAATGTTATTGTGCTGCAGCCCCCAACTTCCCGCCCTCAATATATTATATTACATACTTTTGACTCCTTTTCAGTTCTTTATTTCTCTTCCCGTAGAGTTTATTTCGTAAAGATTAAAATCGAATTAAAATTGAAAAATTAATCATTATTATTGATTTTTATTAAATGAGTGAGATTCAATAATGACTATATTTTCAATTTTAATTGGATTAAAATCCTTCCCAAACAAACTCTTAATTTGATAATATATTCGGGAAAAATTCCAGCAGCGATCCTTTATCTTTTCAATTTTTGTAAATTTTATCATAACCTTCACTTTTTGGCCACAAAAGTCTCTAAGCTTTCATAAATATGCAGTTGAAGTCTAAATTGATAACCGTTAGTTGACCAAAAAAGTCCAAATTTGATTAGTTTTGACCAAATTAATATGGTCAAAATGGTAATTTTAAAATTATCACGTGAAATTTTAAAAAAAAAAAACTAAAGGAAAAAATGGTTTCTTCTTCACCCCCAGACCATCCCAACCTATCCTTCACGGTTGAAAATCAACCACCAACACACGCTGACACCACCACCGGTTATATGCTTTCCCAACACCCGTGAACCTACCCCCAAACCTCACCCAAAACAAAATCGTCGTCACCAAATCTACAACCATCGCCATCTCCGCTACCATCTTCCCCACTGTTAAATGGAACCCAAATAAAAAATCAAAAACAACGAAGCTGCAAAAATCAGCCTAGCCGTCCGCACCACCGCTCAAACCATAGGATTTATGCATCAACGAAAAACCATCATTCCCCTCTACATATCACATCCAACTACCTGCCCTAACTCCACCAAATGTCGCTAAAACAACCACCAAAAATCCCCAAATCACGAACTCAAAAATTACCGACAACTCTTCCTTCAATCACACCCACCATAGCGGACTATCACTAATCGACTCCCACAATCTAGACGACCAGTCTCATGATGGTATTTCAACAAAAAAAAGGGGACAAACAATTGATCCAGCTTTTGGGATTTCAAATCTCGATCTTTGGGTAAGGAGGGATTTGATTTATAGATTTGATAGAGATGAATTTGATTTCTGGTTTCATATTGACGGTGGTAGGCGTGAGTGGTGGTGAATGGGAGTTGTGGCGGTGGCAATGATTTTCGGTAGGTCTCGCTCTTCTCATCGGATTTTGATTTGGGGCAGTGGAGTGGAGTGGGGTTATATATTTATTTTTCTTTTTTGGGGTTTTTAATTTAATTTTTTAACTTATTTAATATGAGAAAATGCAAAGTACCATTTTGCCCCTTTTAATTTGGTCAAAATTAATCAAATTTGACTTTATTGGTCAACTAATGATCAAATGGATATTTGGACTCTAACTGCATATTTATAAAAGGTTAAAAACTTTCGCTAACACAAAATGAAGGTTGTGGTAAATACTACAAAAATTGGAAATGTTAAGACCGCTGCTGCAACTTTCCCATATATTTATTAGCTCGAACTCATTTTTGTGTACAAGATTTTTTGGCTATGAAAATTAGATTAGTCTCGGCGTGATGCCCTCCGATCAAATCCTATCCAAAGTTCATGCATGAGTTGCCTTTGTCTATAACTTATGTCAATCAATGTTTAAGATGCAATTTTTTTGTTATGATTTAATACAAGTTATGTTTGTATAGAAGTCATTTATTAATGTATCTTAATTCTCTAACATAATATTGTATTGTTGCTCTGGAAAACACACACACATATATATAACCACTATTTGGTGGAGATTAAAATCATATATTTTTTTTAATTTTGACAGAAGTTGGTGAGATGTGTGGTCCAAAAGTTGTTGGACCCATAAAATGTGTGGTTGAAATGAATTGTTAATTTTGATTTAAATTAAAATTCAGTTTTTAATCGGTACCAAAAAGGATGATATATTGTTATTTGTTACGTTCATCTATTAGGACTTGTCACGCGTTTTATACAGCGTAAATTATAGCACAAGTGTATAGTGTCAAATTTTGTAATATATGAATGGAGTTAGAGTGTCAAACCCACAAGAATTGTAATTTAATTTTATATTAAGTACTATAATTGTGTAGCCTATATTTTATCTAGATGAATAAATTTTTGAATCAATGTTTTATCTAAACTAGGGATGATTGTAACAAATTCAATGAATAAATACAAACTACATGAATTAATCACTATAGGAGAACATAATATATGATTTCATCTAACTATTAAATACGATTTTCAAAAATTTAGTTATCTCTAATTAATTTTCTATATTTATAAACAAGAACCATATTATAATTATACCCCCCTCTCTCGAGTGTCGAGTAAAATTAATCCTAAAAATTAACTCTAATATATTTTATTTCAAATGAAAATCAAGATTTATCGAAATCATGGTTCTTAGATGAAACAAACTTCATAGATTTTACACTTTCACTCGAAACCCATAAAATTTAGATTGTGTTATTGTTATGGTCGCGCCTAAATTTCACTTTTTCGAGTATCGGAATTAATTAGCATCTAATCATTCAATTAGTGGCCAATCAACACGAATAAACATAAAGGAAAATTTCATAGAAATAACCAAAACAAAATCAAACCAAATTCTCAAGTTTTGGTTAATCAAACCCTAAAAGAATTATTTAGTTCGTGATATAAGATATGAAATTTATACAATTCATAAAAAGTAACACGAAAAGAAGAAAGATAAAACTACTTTTTTGTTTTGTTGAATTAATCTTCTTTGTCAAGTTGCTTTTTATCTCCTTCTTGATTTCTTGAATTTTGTCCCCTTCAATTCTAGTTGAAAAATTGTCCTTAGGGTTATATTATATCATTATGAAGTCTTGGAAGAATTAATGTTGGATTGTGATTTTAAAAGAGACCAAAATATGCAAAACTCATTTTTCTCGCCAAGTGGCGCCCCGCTCCGCCCAGCCCACTTTCGGGTAAAAATTCAGCACTATGCTTATTTCAATATTTCTATCATAATTTTTTCTCCCGATATCTGATTGAGCTGATTCAAAGTGAATTAGAAAGATAATTGAAAGGACTACAATTTTACTTCAAATAACATTTTCAATTTGAACGTTTACTATATAAAAAATGAGTCTTAGTCTCTGACTAAAAATTTGGAACATATTTGTGCTGTTGAAATTTGATTTGTGAAGATATTTTGATCATATTTCGCTTCTTTTTGACTTCTAATCGCAGCCGATTGACTTCTAGCATTCTCAAATTTTCATCGTGAGGTCCAACACAACTTTTGAGTGTTTACACTTTAGTCTCCAAAGTTTAGATCTTTACCCTTTTTCGCCATTATTCACTTATTTTTTTCAATTTAACCTCCAATCGTCAAGTTTCACCAAATCAACATCAACTTCTCCTTAATTCAAGGCTAATTTCACTATTTTCTTCAAATTTTGCATCGTTTACACCAATTCACTAAATCTATAAAATAACACGAAAACACAAATCAAAACACTTTAAAACTCTAAGAATCAAACGAAAGATTAAAATTAAGTAACATTAATATGATGAGTAAAACACCTCATCAAGACTCCAAACAACGGTCACATGACAGCCAACTAGCAAGCTCAATCAAGCTTACACTCCACATCACTATCCTACCTAGTCCAATCGAGGCCATATATTGAGATAGCTGAAGTGATGCATCACCTCAACCGAAGTGACATTTAGAGGTTGACCTTCCATAATCTATGAGAGGCGTTATAATCTGTTGCAGAGTAAATTCGAGGAGAGAATACATATCCCACTTCACATTCCGTACAAAATCTTTCTATGATTGATTGATATGACATCTCTACAACAGATGCCCCACAATTAACTTATCAATCTACATTTTAAAGGTAATACCTAGACTACATGATGCTTACTTTTCAGAAACATTAAACACCCTTGAACCTAGGATTGGTAAAATGACATCTAGGAGAAAACGCCTTGGCCATGAGGATGAGACCACGTATTTTTTCATCAAATGGTAATCATTCATCTTCTTTTATTATAAAAACTTACACTCAACCCTTATTTGATAGAGATTAAAATCAGATTTTTAACAGATTTTAATAAAAATAGTCGAAATGTATGGTTGAAAAGTTGTGGAATCCATAAAATATGTAATTAAAATTAATTATTGATTTTGATTTTGATTAAAAAAAAATAGATTATAATTTTTGCTAAATAAAAGATAAGTAAACAATCCATGTTTATTTCGCACCTGTTTCATATCAAAAATTAATTTTGACCACATATTTCATGGGACGATTACTTTTCAATCACTCATTTTATGGACTTTTATCAAACCTATAAACCAAACAGGGCCTCATCAATCAAAACCCAAAGCAAAAAAAAAAAAAGAAAGAAAGAAAAACTACTAATTACATTTCTCAGAAAAAAAAAACTTGAAGAATCTGATTCAACAAATTTCATATCCCCGTGCAAACAATGCCTAGGCATAAATTATATAACATTAAACTAAACGGACAAAACTTACTAGCAGGTGGCATAGGTGGTGGTGGAATTACAAAATCCGACGGAAGTTCAGGAACTGAAATCTAGAGAAATGGAGCTACTGCTACCGGAGGAGCTTCCGAAACTGGAACTGCAGCACTTTGCACAATCCCAGGAACTGTAGCAGCCATTGAAGGTTTCTCCCATGGCGGAATCGAAACTGCTGCTTCAA